TTCCCCGTTCCCCTCCACGAGTCGCCACTGTTCGCTCTCTTCAGAAGAAGTTCAAGACCCTAGACCTCCAGGGCCGTGCCCTAAACTGGCTCAACAAGTACCCCTGCTGCTTCCAGACCTTCACCGACGGCGACGGTGAGATATTCTACGGTTTCTCCAAGCGCATGGAAGCCCTAGTAAACGAGGAAGAATCTATCAAGACGGCACAAGAGCCAGCCATGGCCCGCCGCCTCGCCAAGCTGCTCATGCTCTCTCGCGATCGTCGCCTCAATGCCGTCAAACTCAACGAGCTCAAACGCGGTCTCGGCCTCCCCGACGACTACATTGTCAGGGTTATTGCCAAGTATCCAGATCTCTTCCGGGTCACGAATCGCTTCGGACGTCGTAACTCAATGGAGATTGAGCTCATCAGATGGGATCCTGAGCTCGCAGTATCGGCGGTGGAGAATGCGGCGATCCAGCGCGGGAAGGAACCACGTTTTGTTTGCTTGCTACCGAGGACTTGGCTAAAGACGCTGGATAATTTTGAGAAATTCAACGAGGGGATTCCCTATATCTCGCCCTATTCTGAAGTGTGGTCGAAAGAATGGGAGGAGTCGGAGAAGCGCACGGTGGGAGCCATTCATGAGATTTTGTCGCTGACCTTGTGGAAAAAGGCTTCGATACTGAAACTAGAACATTTCAGGCGAGAATTCGGTTTACCGCAGAGATTGAACATGTTGGTTCTCCGGCATCCATGCATTTTCTATGTGTCAAATCGGTACAAGATATACACAGTGGTCCTCAGAGAAGGTTACAGGGGATCGACATTGCTGGAGAAGGATCCCTTGGTGATTGTTAAGGATAAGTTTGGGGAGTTGATGCAGGAAGGGCTTCATGAATATAATAGGAGGCGCAATCAGGCTAATCTTGAAAAGAGAAGGAAGAAAGGTGAAATTTTTGTGAAGCAGAAGAAAGAGGAGGTCGAGGAAGATGAAAGTGAGGCGTTGAGCTTCGACAGGATAGAGAAGAGAGAGGAGAGGAGGCGATTTTATAAAGTTCTTTTTGATGAAAATCCATGAGCAGATTTTTGTGAACCTTCTTCAGGTGATTGCATAGAGGAATCTCTAAGCATTGATTCGCTTTGTACAGCAAGCTTTGGCTGTTTGGATTGGTTGAAAATAGATGAGTTTCTTACTTACTGCTTAATCTCAAACTCTCTATATAAAGTTTAGATGAAATTCTTTGTGGTTGATTTGGTATTTGTGATTAATATTATGACTGAAGGACTTGGATTAGGTTGTTAGCCATTTCCATCTGAGTGAGGATTTGTTTTTTAGGTGTTGAATATGACCAAAATCAATCATTTTTTAGATTAATGTTAAATGGATCCTTAAATATGTAGATTGAATCATTAATGAATAATTAATGGGTCATTCAAATGAATGCATAGTAGCTAAACCAAATGCCTTGGGTATAATAATGAATGACTAGTAAGGCATATTTTGATCTATAAATATAGGATGCATGCAAGTTCATCTGGCACAAAATTTCATATAAATTTTATGGTGTAATAATTATTGTTGATCGATTGTCATGTCTGATAACTTTGTCAAATAGGATTTGTTAGATTGGATGCATTGATTATAACTATTATGCTATTATTCATTGTTTTTCTTGCCACTTTTATTGGTCATATTGTATGCTATTCTTTTTCAGTTGTATCTTAGCCAGTAGGTTGAATTTTATACTTATAAAGCCATGTCTATTGATTTAATTAGAATTAGTTTATTAGCTGACCATTATTGAAATTAGAATTTCTAGATTCATGCTTCAGAGGTTTCATCTATTGAATTTTATACTTATAAAGGCATGCCTATTGATTTAATTAGAATTAGTTTATTAGCTGACAATTATTGAAATTAGAATTTCTAGATTCATGCTTCAGACAACTTGGGAAGGTGATTAATTAAGGTTATAAAGTCATATACTTGATTTTTTACGAGTTTATATTCCTTCTTAGATGAATTATTGCAACATATAGTTGGTATTTATTGTATTTTTTTCTGTTTTATGATGGTTCATTGCTTTTTGTTGTACATGAGGCAGGTTGTGGAGATCACAAATGTCGTGGTATTTATTTCAAATATGAACTCTACAAGAAAGCTGGATTGATTAAGGCAGGTGTTATGATTTCATATTTCATTACTATTATTGCTTTGATGTTAGAGTTCATTTGGTTTCATCAAGTTTGAAACTTTCTGGTTTCTCAAATTCATCACCTGATTTTAAGTGTAAAAAAATAACATTAATTCTGAAATGTTACCATACAATTGAAATGTCTGTGAATTCACACAACTTATGCAGGACCTGTGACGATGGAGCGATGTTAAGAAAAGAAATTGTTTTTGGACCCTCTTTTGAGGGAATGATCCTCCTTGTATTTATAGAGTTAAAATGGCTTATGCCTTCAGAAAGTTACAAGTGGGGTTACACAGAAATAAAAGGCCGGAATTGGCATGAGTAGAATGCCGCCTTCGTTGGTTTAGTCAACCATAACTTGGGGATATGAAGTTGCGTGATGAAAAACTTGCCGAACTATGATGAATTACAAGAATGGATATATTGCTAACATACACACCATTCTAAGAAACTTGACGAATGGTACTCAACAGCTAGCACTCGACATCTCGGCTCTTCTTGAACTATGCTAACGTCAAAGGCCCATTGGGTCGTGTTGATGTCCTCATCGGTCTTTTGATAGTCGTTTTCGTTTTGTACATCTTCATTCCTTAACTTCTTATTCTTTTTGGGGCTTTTACGTACATATCGTGCAATTCTTATGTTTTTACACGCTTCCGCTAAGATCTTTAACATCACATCAAAAATAACTTTTCATACATATGTTTATGACACCAGGGTGTATTTTGTGTACAAATCAAATTTCGGTTGTTAGATATGCAAATACAAAAAAAAAAAGGTGCGTTATGTTTGTAAATTTTCATATTATTTCACATCATGAAATTTTGATTGTCCTGCTCAGGTTGACATTGTTATGCACACCATTTATCATTCCTCATAATTGTTGTTTCATTCCTTAACAGCCTTTGTGAAGATGGATGACCCAATGTATGTTGTGGTACTTAACGGAGGTCAGTTTGGGTGAGTTCTAAATACACTAAATTTGAATTAAAATGTGAGTTCTGAATTTATCAAAATTTTTCTCATATCAGAAGTTCTTTTCTTATTGCAAAGCTTTATCTTGAATTAGAGTTGTTTGATTTTCTGAAAAAATAATGCAGCGTAAAATGAATACAATAGATGAATAATATATTGTATTTAAAATACTATGATGTTATTTAGTTTGGTGTAAAATAAATGAATGATTTTATTATTTTTTGGTTTGAAGTAAAATGAAAATATTGCCGACCTCCCATTTATGGGGGGTGTTTCGCTGTAGCTTGATTTAACGTTAAACAGGGTTTGAGCTTTTAAATCCGGATTTTTCAAGACGATCGGCGACAAGCGGAATGATATGTCTGGTCTATTTTGAACCAGGCGAACCGATCAAATTTCTGCCTAAGTATGAGTTCATTGATTCCCCTCGCGTTATTTTGTATTATTTTCCTTTTATCTCTTACAATTATTTTTTTCATCATACATACAAATATATGGACAAATAATTCAATATATTAGGTATAATCTTCCATATATATGCAATATGTTGAATTATTTTATTTCTATTTGAGATGGAGGGATGATGGAGTATTGGAGTGTGGATTTTATAATACAAAATACTAAACATATTATATTCCAGTGTATATATATTTCTCAATATCTATAAATAACTAAAAAGAATATATTTGTTAGAAAGTATATTAAGAACTATATTTTAAAATAAATATATTTGATAAAAAAATATCAAGACATTATTTACAGATTTCTTACAATATAAATTAATAATGACTATATATATATATTATTTAATCCTAAAAGAATAAAGGTCTAAACAAGAAAGGATGCTCCCACATATGGGAAACAATATTACATCAGGAGTCCTGATGCAAAACTGTGTTAGGACTTCAATCACAATGTGTTATGTGTAAAGTTCGCAGGAGTCCTGATGCAAAACTGTGTCAGGACTTCAATCACAATGTGTTATGTGTAAAGTTCGATCTCACTGAATTCAAAAAACTAAATAGTTTAATGTATGACGGGGTCAGACCGTACACGTGGCGCATTGTGATTGAAGTCCTGATGCGATTTTGCATTAGGACTCCTTATGTAATATTTTTTTTCACATTTGGAGGAAAAAGGTATTACCCACACGCGCGTTGTTCATATGGAGGTCTTCTGCAAATAAATAAATAAATAAATAATTTTGTTTGGTTGGTGGTAGGCTTATTTTGTCTATGCATGCTTTTATTAATTATTTAATTTATTTTTTAACTGAAATTGTATTTTGCTTTCTCAAAGTTTGCTTTTTTCAATAAAGTTTGAGTAAAATAATAAATAAATAAATAAATTGGGGGATTTAGACACATACTTTGGACTCATTATGCATTGACGTGTCTAACATCTAACTTTTTATATCTATTTATATACCTAATCTCTTCAAAAATATCATCTAACTTTTTATATCTATTTATATACCTAATATCTTCAAAAATATCATTAAATTTGTTATAATGCTTTTTTGCATAATTGAGTGTTATACAAATAAATAAGGTAAGTTGAATATTAAATATATTAATACATAATCAATCATATGTATGTCATTCACCCTAGAAATTTAGCTGTTATACAAAGGAATTGAATCTTTTTTATTCCCAAAAATAGAAAGGTCATTTCATCCTTAATATGGATAAAAGTTGATGAATGAGATCAATTTGTGACTTTAAACACAAAAGAGATATATACCATTTAGAGTGATATATTAAATATATTAATATATTTGTGTTGTATGGAGATCTGACATACATGCACAAGTAAATGTAAATTGATAGAAATGGCAACAAGAGTTTTTTTTATATGAAAAATCTGAAAGGATAAAAACTATTGGAATTGATATGGTTGAAATAATTTCACAATGTCGATTTAGGTTACGAGACTTAATCGATCATTGAACGACTGGAAACAATATTCACAAGTCGTGCCAGATTTTTATCAGGGAAGTAGAAGAAAACATCGAAGGAAGTGGCGACAACCTGACTGATGTGGAGGAAATCGAATGGCAGGGTCAGTGTCTTTGGTAATGGTGGCCAAACGGTGGTAGCTGGAAAGCGACAATGGTGTTATTGTGGTGGGGATGCCTTGACAGCGGTTTCCATACAATGGTAGTTCGACGGTGACAATGGTTCTGTGGCGGCTGGACAACAGTGGCTCGACGGTGGCAGCGACATGACAGTGGCGGTGACACGACGTTGGTGGGTGAGCAACAGTGGTCCAGTGATAGCGATGACTACATAGAGGTGGTCGGGCTATGATGGGTTGGAGGCTGTGACTAATTGATGACATTGGCAAGCGCTGATGGCTTAACAGTTGTGGAGATAACGACTATCCAACATTGGTGGAGCTTAACGACGATTGTCTAACAATGTTGGTGTTCGATGACAGCGGCCGAGCACTAGTAGCTTAACGGTGTTGGAGCTTGATAGCGGTGGTCAAGACTCTGATAGTGACTGTGGATCTACTATGATGGTTCAACAACCACGACTGCTTGATGGCAGCGACTAGATGGTTGTGGTCCGGTGGCGATAGTCGGGCAATATTGGTACCTCGAAGGTGATGGTCATGTGATGGTAGAGCTATTTATAGATTTTGTGAGCAACATACTCTTTAAATATTGAATGAAGTCGTACCACTATACCATATGACCACCCAATGTGATTCATTTGATCAAATGGTTATGAGCATTGCAATGCCTTCATAATGTTCAAATCGAGTAATCTTGGGTTTGTTAGATTGGGCTCACTAAGACGCTCAATTTGATTATAAGCTTGTTAGATTCATAATCCATTTGATCATTTAATTTCTCATCTAAAGCCTCTGATTAACCCTAAAAATTTTTGATCCAGGCTTGATCAAACTCAAAACGACTAATTTTGACTTGTTGTGATGGTCAGTACGACTATAGTGGATCATTGGTAGAGCTTAATAATGGTTTTTCGATGGTGGTGGGGCTTGACGACGGTGGCCAAGCACAGGGGGTATTTTCTTTCATTTCTCTCTTTTTTTTTAAGTCACATTTTGTTCATTGACATATATTTTCATTTTCCTAATAAGTCTCTCTTCTTGATCATATGAATAATTAGAAGAAGAGATGAACATAAAAGCATGACAACCAACAAAAACGAACAAACAATAGAAAAAACGTGGAGAGCTCCAGTACGACAAACTTCGCTATGATAGGTCAAACATATATGTCCAAACAAGATTAGACAGAAATAGTTTGTGTCAAATATCCGCGAATGAATGCCTACGAAAGCTACTCATAGCCTGAGATTCAGGTATGTTTTCCAGTTATGGAGTCCAAAGTACTCCCAAAGGGCGTATCCCACTTGGTTAATTACATCTTAGGAGTTGCCCAAGAATAGTTTGATCCAAGAAGTTATGCTTACATTTAAAGTGAAAATTAGCACAGGGCTATCAAAGGAAAATTATTTCACATGTGAATACTCTGATGCTTTCAAAGCTCCCGTTAAGCCACGAGGCGGAGAGTGAGTCTCTCGTTGTCCCCACATGTGTAACAAACTCATCGACATACAAAACCTGTGAAATAACTCAATCTTCCTGAAGGGAAATCCCGATACGTCAAAGCACATACAAGTCATGAGGGCAGAAGAGAAATCGTCGTATCCCCAACGGGTGGAAGATCGTCGAGATGATACCAACGAAGACAAAAAGAGCAACATAGCTCAACAGGGGTAGCCAAAGAAAGGAAGGAGTGATCCTTAAAAGGTAGAGGTAGTCAGTTTAAGGTAGTACTGTCTTGAGTAGGCCTACTTAATGGTGGATTCTCCCAAATAAGGACGAATCATCGCAGAACCTGGTTTCATGCCCTAACACATACTGAAGGTCTTAGATGGGTGTCTTGAGCTACGAACGTTGTGAATGAGCAATAAATCATCCCGACTAGTTAAGCAGACACCTTACATGTGTGACATCAAAATTTGACACCAATAGTGGGTTCGACGGTGGTGGAGCTACATGGCGATGGTTCGGCAGCGACAGGGGATCCATACTATGGTCGAGTAGCAATGATCCAACGATGGCCAAGTGACAGTGGTCTAGCAACCATGGCGCCTTGAAGGGGATGGTCATTAGGTGGTGGACCTCGACGACAACGGTGTAGCGATGATGGAGCTCAAAATTCCTCAAGAGCTTGGATCTCACTTTGGCTTTCTCCTCCATGTCCATATCCCAAGTCTCCATTCAAGAATGGACTGAAAAATCTATTTATAGATTTTTTGAGGAAGGTTCACTGTAAAAACTGACCCAGAGCGATTCCTTTGATTGGACGGTGCTTGTCGGGAAGGTTAGTTTGACCATAAGCTTCCTAGAATTAAGGCTTTCGATGATATTGAATTTAAATATAGAACGTTCACCATTAGGGATGATCCGAGATTCATGTATGATAAAAATTATTTTTTTGAGTATGTATCAAATTTCATCATTCTTATCCCATAATTTAATTATAGTTGCATATTTAACACACAAACTTTAATATTTTTTGTTTAATACTTTTAACATCTCAATTGCATCAAAATATATCAAAGAAAACGATTATTAATCAAAGATCAAATTTATATATTTTTCCTTAGCACATGTTTAGATAAAAATTATTTCATCGATCAACATAAACATCATAAGAAATCCAGAAAGCAAGCTGCTTTAACTAAAGCCTACCCGATCTGAACAGCTTCATCAACCCGAAGGTCACGGCCATGGCGGCCCACCCTCCAATCAAAACCCTAATCCCCGCCCTCAAAACAGGAGCTTTTCCAAGCAAAGCTCCAACACAGCCAAATACTGCCAAAGCCAAACTGGCTGCTGCTGCTACCACCCCAATTCTTACCTCATAACTGCTTATAAACCCGGCCGCTAACAGGGGCACAGAAGCTCCTATGGAGAAAGCCATGGAGGACGCCATTGCCGCCTGAACTGGACTTGGCAAGCTTTCCTGATCAGCTAAAGCTTCCACCTTGCTGTCTCTTTTCAGCTGGGCGACTTCAATGTCAAGCTGAGAGTACACAGAGATAAATTCTCCTATGGCCATGCTGCAAGCCCCTGCTACTAAGCCTGCAAAGCCTGATAAAATCATGGCTTTTGGATCTTGTTTTACAGCGCCAATTCCTATCATGAGAGAAGTAATGGAAACCAGACCATCGTTGGCTCCGAGGATTGCAGCTCTGAGCCACTGGGATCTGTTTGAGCAGTTCATTTCTTCAGCGTGTGCTTCATGGATTTCAGAGCTGGGAATGGTTAGTTTGGTTTCAGTGATTGTGGCCATGTATGGGATGGGAGGGAGGAAGAAGGAATAGTATGGAGAGGAAGGAAGGGGATGGGAGAGTGTGGTAGACACGAGCCATGGATTGCTTTTTATAATGGGGGGGTTTGGCTGTAGATTGGTAGTGGGGCGGACACAAGCTCATAATGCTTTTTTTTAATGAGAAGATGAATGCAGAAGTAACATTATTAATTAAAATTAAAAAAAGTTATAAATAACTTGATATATTCTTTTTGTTTGATAATTAGTTTGTACTTCTCTCACAAAATTTTTCGATTTGGAAGAGGGAAACGTTGTTTAAACCAAAATAATTGTAAGATTGAAGGAGAAAATATTAGGTAGTGGTATTGTTTCTTGTTTTTTAGTTTCCCAAGCGTCAGCTGGATCTGAAAAAATATTAAGAGATTTATGTGTCATAACACAAGATAAGTTTTGAATTAATACTTTTTTTATTCGTTGAGTAAGGAGTCATCAGCCAAGATTCGATCGAGCATTGTGTAGGTATGATCGATCAGATTGTTCGACAGTTGGGAGTTGGTAATCCGTTTTGTGGTACTGGCCTCCTACCCAAAGCCTCTAGGAAAAGGATGGAAATGTGTATTCCTCTTTGTTGGCTTCATTTCCCTTCTTGTTAAGAGCATGCTCCATGTCGCACATTTCAGGACATTGAATTAACATTTGTCTTATGAGGCAACCCCAATGATCAGAGCGGTAGAAACCTTGAGAGATAAGTTCAGAGGGAGAGACAGAGAAATAAAGAATGAAATAACACCCAAACTTTTCCCGTACAAGTGAATTGGGTGTTTTGGAGCTCAGTGACCCATTTTTTATATTGGAAGTTGGGGTTACAGGTACGAGTGTAAATGAGCCGAACACGAGGCTCGTTTATATTTCGAGCTCAAAAAGTGTGTTTGTGCTCGGCTCGTTTGCTTAGCGAGCCGAACACGAGCAGTTCATGAACAAAGAGTTGTTTTGACAACCTGTTGACCTCACTTTTGGTTGAGGTCTAGAAACTTTTGCAGTAGCCTAGGTCTAGCCATATGACTTTCCTATTGACTAGTCTTAGAAAATTAGAAAAGGTACCCTCACTATTAGAAATTCAAAGCTTTTCTTTTTTTACTTACTCAACTTGAAATTCCACATAAATTCCACATATTGATCTTAACCTCTAGCATTTAGTAGGTAAGATCATTATGAGAGAATTCAAGAAGAGTTCCTATAGGATTACTTGGCTTTAGTATTGACCCTAGATGTTGACTTGGAACTAGGGTTCACCATATCTTCACAATATATTAATCCATGGTTCATTTAGAATGGATATCTATCCAATTCTATGTGAAATGCCTAACTTGGTCTTTTGCCCCTAGGCACCTCCAAATTACCTAACTACCCATGGGACCTAAATTTGACTAAAATTCCCAAATTTTGCCAAATTACCCAAAATTGATCAAAACCCATTTCAAACACCTTGAATACATCCAAATTTGTCAAAATTTCCAAAAATGGCCAAATTACCAA